CAGTTTGCAGCTCAGACCTACAGAATATGATCACTGTAATTCAACCACCATGGGAATAAGCCCATTTAATTCAATGAGAGTTATTTCCCAAGTACACATTAATGGTTTGGACTACTGGTTGAAGAACTGTAGGACTCACGGGAATCTACCATACATGGAGTCCATTAGTCCATCTTCCTCAGTATTATCTCCAATGACTGGCAGAGGCTCTCCAGGGTTTCAGATATTGGACATTTCCAGTTCTACCTGGGGATTTCAGAGACTGAACACGGTACCTTTTCCATGTGCAACAGATGCACTGCCACTGAGCTACGACCTTTAAAACTGCTATGTGAGTTCATTCTACGTCCTTAAATTTATGTGCTTGGTTCCTAACCCCTCTGATAACACAATGCTCTCACCATACATTTGGCAGCTGTGGCAGATGACATGGTGGAGCAGGCCTGTCCATCTGACCTAGTTGGCCATGCAACTGCTGTTTATTACTAAAAGGAGCAAGGCAACAATGAGATTGGAATAAGGGGTTGGAAGAGATGATCTCCAAGGTCCCTTCCAACTCAATGATTCTATCAGTTTTGACGGTCAGAACAGAGATAATCACACTGTAACAAGTGTACCAATTATAATTTTTATTTATTATTATAAAAAAAAATTGTTAAGAAGCAAATGCATGGGCGTACTGTAAAAATTTTCCTAGGGTAATCTTAGTGAAATACCCATTTTGTGCATAATGCTTATAGAGAAAATATTCTGCCCATGCAATCCTATGCATTCTTACTCAGAAATAAGTCCTGTTGAGTTCAGTGGTGCTAAGTAGTAGTAGTAGTAGTAGTAGAAGAAGAAGAAGAAGAAGAAGAAGAGGAGGAGGAGTTTGGATTTGATATCCCGCTTTATCGCTACCCTAAGGAGTCTCAAAGCGGCTAACCATCTCCTTTTCCCTTCCTCCCCCACAACAAACACTCTGTGAGGTTTCTCACAGAAATTCCTCAGTAGGTAGGAGTTTTGCAGCTTAGATGAAGACTGAGCAGAAGAACAGGACGTTTGGTTTTGTAAAGGTTCCTTAAGACAATAATCACTTGAACAAACACAAAGAATGCAACAAATTATAAAGCGCTTCATTCTTTTGCCTAGGATAGTATATTACAGTGTGGCAAGAGTGTGTTCTTCTGTAAACCAAAAGGATTGTGCTGCCCTCTTGTGTTCCTTTGCTTAAATAGCTTTTTTAAAAGGTTGAATATTGCAACTTGGTTTGTATAAAGATGGCGAAACCTTGATCACAGTACAAAAAAGGAAATAAAGAAGTACAAGTGGTTTTGATTAAGCCAGATAAGGTATGTCCCACACCCGAGCCTCTTTCAATGCTATTAAATACCGGCCATGTCACCAGGCACTAAATCCTAATGGTAGAGCTCCTGGCAATAAGCTTGCCAGCTTTATTTCCTGGCACTACTAAACAACAGAGTTCAGCAAGGAAGCTTTCCCCACCACTAATCTTCATATCAGAAAAAGCTTCACCTGTTAATTTTTTCCATGTGAGGAGATGTGCTCAAAATGGCACAAGAACCCACAAAGAAGGTGACAACCCAAGTTCTGAAGAGTAGACAAAATTATAGGCTGTGCCCTTCCATTCTGCCCCTGACATTGGCACAGGGTGGTGAGGGGCAAAGGAGAACAGAGTTCCTGCACTTTGAATAGTTGGGGCAGAATTTCAGCAGAACATCAGCGTGGATGGCTTTAAAAGAAGATTAGACTAATTCATATAGAATAAGACTATCAACTGCTACTAGCCACAGTGGCTATGCTTCTGAATGCCAGTTGTTGGGAACCTCAGGCGGGCAGAGTGCACTTATGTCCTGCTTACGGGCATCCCACAAGCATCTGGTTGGCCATTTAAGGATGCTGTGGTCCTGTTATAATGTGTGGGTAGTATGCTTGCCAGCAGGACACTTAGAAAGCCAGGCAATAGTTATCTGTCTCAAGTTGATAGTGGCTCACAAGCCAGAGCAGGATGGGGCAATGATGTCCATCTAGCCTCGCAATACAGAGGTTGCTGCTGGTAACTGAGAAGGGGAGGTAGCAGGGATGTCTGCAACCAGTGGAGCCAATCTGATGTTCCCAGCACTGCACATGCACCATGCCAGCCTCTCCGCTGTCTCACCCCTCTCCTCAATTTCAGAAGCTAGGTGAGCAATGTCACCCCACTCTGCCCTTCCTGGCACAATTGTCTAAGGCGTATCAACAACTTTTGCACTTTACTCGGTCCCTACAATCCACCAGAAACTTCTGGGCACCAGAAACTTCAGGCATTCAAGATAATAAGAATCTTTTATTTAGCATTGGCAGTTCTGTTAACATCTCATCTGTGTTTGAAGCAAACTTGCATCTGAGCTCACATTCTGAACGATAGTAAAATAGCTGGATCTAGCTGGCTGGAAATGCCGACCTATGCAGGTGAAAATAATGAACGTGAATGTCAAGGAGGCTGGTTTCTTACCAACTTCCTCAGGTAATACAGATGCGTGTCTCATGCTCAAGTAAGCAACAACCGATATAAATATCTGTGTGTAAAATTGATCCCATCTGATTTTTTTGTTAAGCACTGTGCTGTAGCATCTGTTGTTTTTTTGTGGGCACCCAGTGAAATAGTTTTACATGCTTCTCTCTTAAGTCGTTTAGATTCCAGTTGGTGATGCGAGATATTATTGTAAGACGAAGGTCACTAGAAAATCTCTAGCTAGGAGTGTTCTTTAGCAAATTCAGAAAGGGCACGCAGTGATGCCTGATAAATACAGGCAAATGGTTGCCAAGCAACCACCAGTGTATGCGCTACTCAGAAACAGGATGAAGGGCCTACGTGAGAAGGCACCTCCATTATGATGTCAGACATCAGGCCAAAACCCTGTTGCCACACCCCTTGTCCCCCAATTTCTGCCAATTTCAGCATCGGCGCTGATGGCTGGGCCTTTTTCAATCCTGGCAAGAGCTTCTGCCCAGATACTAGGACTGCTAACTATTCAGCTGGACTCTGCAGTTGCAACATGCATCAAGACGGCATTAGCAGCTGATAACGTTTGTCTCTCTGCCATGATATACACACAATGATTAGGTACATGACAACCAATGAATTGCCTGCACACTGGTGTACACATGGTGCAGGAGCAACAATCTGCAGCCTGATCTGTCATCAGTTCCTGAAGCCCTTATCATTGTTGCCTTGTCACCTGGTGGGACAAGAAAGAGACCATTTTTGCCTATAGCTCCTAAATTATTTCTCCCCCCCCCCCCAAGGAAGGGCTCACCTGGCTCCTCCCTTGCCTCTTTCAAATGGGCTCTTCAGAACTTTTTTAGATTCATTCTAGGCTGGTCAATTAGGGGAGATGGGGCAGTGCCCCTCCAACCTCGGTCTGCCCTTAGTTAGCTCCTCACATGATTGCCTTCTTTGTTATAAGCAGGCCAGGGGTTGGCACTGCCCGCCAACTTCCTGCTCCGTAGTCTCACTCTTGGCCTTTGCAGAACTCAACAACTAGGAGGATTGTGACAAAGCCAGAATGAAGTGATTCTGCCTGTCTGGTTCTGGTACCACCGACCATTGGTCTCCTTGCATTCCACCCTAACACTCCCAATGGGCAGCGGCTACAACATGAGACATTGGTGATAGAGGTCTGTCAATATAATTTTTGTTATAGAGATGTAAGGGTTGAGTGTTATCAGTATAGTTATAGAATACAAACCTTCTTTTTGCATTTTTTTTCTTGTGTACCACTTAGAGACTATTGTGGTTACATAGTATATAAATTGCTTAGATTAAATGCAATGAATGAATGGCAGCATTGCACCCCAAATCCCTGGATGTCAGGACTGGAGTCAGGAATAGGTTGGCAATTAAACAATAAATCACCCAAGGCCAATGAAGTTAACTCTTTATTCTTGTTTCCTTTATTCAAAGGAAGCAAACAGCTCAGGCCTAGTGGCTTCAGCAACTCTTTCTAGGAGGCCTTGCCCCAATAAAGCAGTTGCGAAGACTGAAGGCCTTCGTGCTAGAACTCCTGCTCTCCAGGGTGTTTCCCACGCATTCTCAGGCTGTGTCTGTACACAACCAACCTCGGCTCTGCCTATTTCATTTCTCTACATGTTCTAGGAGACCAGGGGGGAGGGGAGCTGGTCACAGCAGGAGGGGTAGACTCCCTGGATTGTTCAGCAGCTTGCCCCACTGCTCTTCTGACCCCACTCCTCTCTAGCCCCTGCTTGTGCCTCGGAGCTGAACTGTGCTCTGCCACAGACTCTTCCTGTTCACTAAACCCTGTCGCCTCTTCTGCTTCTGACACCTCCTCCTCCCAGTCTCCTCCCTCTGACCACGCATCATTGTCCCACCACCAATTGCCTGGCTCTAAGCCTTCTTCCCTGGAGGTTCCCTGGGGAATTTGCCGGCTGGTGCCTCCCACCACTCCTGTGGATCCAGCCAGTCCATGACACTGGATGATCACTCACAATGGTTCCATATAGATGTGAAATGCATGGAGAACATGATGGGTGACTGTGGGACAGTTTCCCCAAAGCCTGGACTTGGTCCTGGTAGTTTGTTTGTTTGTTTATTATTAAATTTGTATACCGCCCTATACCTGCAGGTCTCAGGGTGGTTACAGCTTAAAAACACAATATAAAAACACAATATTATATGATAAAAACAAAAACAACCCAATAAAAGGCTACCAGGAGCGACTCCCTTCCCCTCCACACCCCAAACACACACAGTCTTTGCCATCTTCTGGATCCTGTTTCATCCAGCTTGCTAACCTGGATCTGGGTCTTCCAGCTTCTCCTTAAGATGGAAGAATGCAGGGTGCAGGGACTCGGGGCATTTCAAGAACACTTTGTACATGATTAACACTGCCCTTTTCCTGATGTAAGACCTCGTGTGAGACATCGGGGTCATGATGTCATTGGCCAAGTCTCTGGCCAGCTTGGGTGTCACAAAGCAGGACAAACCAGTCAGTGCAATGGTGGTGTCATACTGGTTGGGGCTAACTCTGGTCCTTTTGGATCTGGTTCGTTGTCAGCACAATGACGTTGGTCCCTTCGTGAAAGCACTGTGAGGCTGCCAGGTACCTGATCCTTTTGAAGGTGAACTTTGAGGCGCTCATGACTTTGATGATGTTGAAGGCCGCCCAGTTGATGCTGTAGCCCAGCATTTGCAAGTAGGTAGGCTTGCAGATGGCATTAGTTGTCATGGCAATGTTATCCTGCTTCAGATCCTGCTTGATCTCATCGATTCACTGAGAGATGTACCTTGCCTCGTCCTCCTTGTGGTTGCGGATGCCGTGCACCAGGTCCTGGAGGTTCTTGTTGAACATGCGGCCCATACTGCCTTTCACCATTTCCAACACCATGGTGGTGGTGGAGGCTGGGAGGAAGAGGCGGCGGCGGTGAGGGGGGAGCGGGGAGCAGCCGGGAGGGCGGTGCTCTTCTTGGAGGAGAGCAGAGCAGAGGCAGACCCAGGTGGCGGTGAAGATGCCTCACATGCCTCCTTCCCACCCCTCATGCTCAGTATCTGCTCAGTAGGATAAGTAAGTAAATAAGTAAGACTGCGGCTCCAGCTTCAAACCCACAGAGCCGACCCAAGAAGATACTGTACTATGCACAACTGAAAGCTGCTGAGAGAAGTACTCTAGGCAGCCAGTGTGGTGTAGTGGTTAGAATGTCAGTCTAGGGCCTGGGAGATCACGGTTCAAATCCCCATTCAGTCATGAAGCTCACTGGGTGACCTTGGGCCAGTCACAGCCTCTTAATCAGCAAACTTTTTCAGCAGGGGGCCAGTCCACTGTCCCTCAGATCTTGTCGGGGACTGGACTATATTTTGAAGAAGAAGAAAGAATGAATTCCTATGCCCCACAAATAACCCAGAAATGCATTTTAAATAAAAGCACACATTCTACTCATGTAAAAACACACTGATTCCTAGACCATCTGTGGGCCAAATTTAGAAGGCGATTGGGCCAGATCCGGCTCCCGGACCTTAGTTTGCCTACCCATGGATTAAGGACTCAGCTTCATTAGTCAAGAAACTGCATTTTGAATGTGTTATAAAAATGCAACACCAGATGGCGCCAGAGAGCAAACAGAAATTTCCAAGCAATTTTCCATAGCGATTTCCCCCCTTTTCTTATAACGATTTAATTTCTGACTTATTTATAGCATTTCCCCCCTGCCCCCTGTGTGTGGAGAATTAACAGCGTTGCATACCTCCTCTCCCAATACAAGTCATTAACCAGGGCAACCAGAACCTTTTCAGTGCCTAAACCAGGTCAGAAGTGAGATTCAAATTGGTCTAGACAATCAGTTTCTTTTACGTATGCCTGGTGCTCGCCAGCTAATATAATCTGACCAAGCACCTTTGCAACTAGGCAAAATCTGTCACAGACTTCTGGGTTCGGAAAGGGCTTCTTGAGGAGGGGGTGTCCTCCACCTCCTTCACGAACAGTGGGACTCATGCTCCTGACGTCTCCCAGATACTCAGTCAGTGGAGTCTTAACCTCAAAGTTGTGGGTTCAAGCCCCACATAGGGCAAAATATTGCTGTATTGCAGGGCGTAGATGACCCTCGTAGTCCCTTCCAACTCTACAGATCTAAGTGTGCAATGATAGTATCCATGTGTGCACACTGTTGACCCTGGGCCTATGATGCCTTCCACTGTTCATTCCCCTCATGGGAGAAGCATGTGTTTCCCCTTCCTCAAGCATTCCTTCAGAAGTGACTTGCTGTTTTCACTTCCTCCTTGTAATGTGCAAATCGACCTCCTATTATCATATTTGTTAGGTATGATTAATAGTTATTTTGCTTCATTTGGATACTAAACGCTTTAAGAGAAGCGAGTGCATCACCATCCCTATTTATGTAACACCTACTTCAGTCTTGCCTGGGGCCTTGAGAATCTGTGGCAATAAATAGCTCATCCTATTATTGTCAAGCTTCCTGTCTTGCTAGTACAATCTTACATTCGATTTAACAGAAGCCATGGCTGATCCTGCATCTGACTTTCTGAGAAGGCTTTTCTCACTTCACACAGCTATACAGTACCACACCTACCTGGTGAGGGTATAGAATATACTTCTATTATACAAACATCACACAATATTATCCGGTAAAATAAAGAATCATATTCCTGTATTTTTAAAGTTCTCAGTCTAGTACAAGGTTTCTCAAACTTGGGTCTCCAGCTGTTTTTGGACTACAACTCCCATCATTCCTAGCTAGCAGAACCAGTGGTCGAGGATGATGGGAATTGTAGTCCAACAACAGCTGGAGACCCACGTTTGGGAAATCCTGGTGCCCTCCAAATGTTTTGGATTAAAACTCTCATCAGCCTCAGTTTTTATTTTGCCCTTGGGCCTTCTAAATTCGGTTTCAGCTTTTAACCCTGCTTTGCTGATTTTTATTCTCTGCTCTCTGTTTCCTTGGTCTGTTCCTCCAGATCTTTCCTGATGTTGTTTTAATGCTGCATTTTATCTCATTGTTATGTATTATAGAATTGTTATTCTGTTATGTTAGCCCCACAAAGGATTCTGAGTTGTCATGGGGTGGTCTATAAACGTGCCTATCCATTAACCACTATCTTTTTATTTCCTCCAATTCTTTCTGCATCATATTGAAGACCCCTCTCTGACTTAAGCAGCAGATCAGATCAGCTCTGTTCAAAGCATAACTTTTGTGGATGGTTAAAGCAGGCTCCTCCTAATCTATTTCTAGCATGTCATAGATTAGAACCTCATGCAAAAAGCTTCAGAAATAAAATCAGTTCTTATTTCTAGAATGTAGGTCAGCTTACAGCAAGATGCAAATGACCATCTTCAGAGTGCAATGCTTCCTGGTCCTTGGTCTGCAAAATCATCTCATTTTGGTCACAGGATGTGGAGCCCAAGAAAACATCTTCATGGGCTTTCCAGACTGGCTCTCATTCCTGACCAGAGCAGACTACTCCTATAATCACGTAGACGGAGCTGTGCTCAAAACTGACAAGCATGCCTCTTCCTTTTACTAAATTACTCCCTCTGCTCTTCAGATAACATAAGCACTTGATTTTATTTCTGCACTGTATCAAGCTGACACTGCAAGCTTTATATATATTTATATATATATATTCTATTTCACCTAAGGGAAAACTGTCAGTGCTCATTTTCGCTAAAAGGATGAAACTGCCGTATGCAACTCCATTCATTTTTGGAGCAGGCTGGTTTCCAGGGGCCAGACCAATTTCTTTGTGTGATACCAGGCTTGAAGACATTTGGAGGCTTGCCTTGCTGCTTCCGCTTCTCTGGAAAGAGAATAAGCAAACTTTCTTTGGAACAAGACAGGATGGCGGTATAGAAGTAGCCCACGAAACTCTCCTAGTTCTGGTCTCTGTTTCACATAACTATCATAGTGAACTCTGAAAGTACACTGAAATATTTTTTGTAAATGTCAAGGGCACTTCCTAGCCGACTCTGGGGTTGCGGCGCTCATCTCACTTTATTGGCCGAGGGAGCTGGTGTACAGCTTCCGGGTCATAATAATAATAATAATAATAATAGTAATAATTTTTTATTTATACCCCACCCTCCCCAGCCAAGGCTGGGCTCAGAGCGGCTTACAAGCAATAATAAAAACAAGACGAATGATTACAACTTAAAAACAAAATTAAAATACAACATTAAAATATTACAACATTAAAATAAAATGTAGCCTCAACGCAGGAGGAGAAGGAAAGAAAAAAAGAAAGAGAGGGAGGGAATCAAATTGGCTCCAAGCCAAAGGCCAGGCGGAACAACTCTGTCTTACAGGCCCTGCGGAAAGAAATCAGATCCTGCAGGGCCCTGGTCTCATGAGGCAGAGCGTTCCACCAGGCCGGAGCCAGAGTTGAAAAGGCCCTGGCTCTGGTTGAAGCCAATCTAACTTCCTTAGGGCCCAGGACCACTAGGGTGATTGCTATTTATGGACCTTGAGGCTCTCTGTGAGGCATACCGGGAGAGGTGGTCTCGTAGGTACGAGGGTCCTAGGCCGTGAAGGGCTTTAAAGGTCAAAAGCAGCACCTTAAATCTGACCCTGTACTCCACCGGGAGCCAGTGCAGCTTGAAAAGCACTGGGTGAATATGCTCCCATGGCAGAGACCCCGTGAGGAGCCTCACTGAGGCATTCTGCACCCGCTGGAGTTTCTGGGACAGCTTCAAGGGCAGTGAATTACAGTAGTCAAGCCTGGAGATGACCATCGCATGGATCACTGTGGCCAGGTCGGGGCGGGAAAGGTAAGGGACCAACTGCTTGATGCGGCGAAGGTGGAAAAATGTCGCCTTGGCTGTTGCTGTAACTTGTGCCTCCATGGAAAGGGAGGCGTCAAGGATTACACCCAAACTCTTAACGGAAGGCAATGGCACTAATTGGGCCCCCGCAAGAGAAGGGAGTTGGTCCTTCATCCCTATGCCATCCCGACCCAGCCATAGGACCTCTGTCTTTGAAGGATTTAGTTTCAATCGGCTCCCATGAAACCATCTAGTCACAGCTTTCAAGCATCTGGTCAGTGTGTTCGGGGCCGAGTCGGTGTGGCCATCCATCAGCAGATAGAGCTGAGTGTCATCAGCATACTGGTGACAGCCCAGCCCAAAGCTCCGGATAATATGGGCAAGGGGGCGCATAAAAATGTTAAAAAGCATCGGGGAGAGAATTGTGCCCTGTAGCACTCCACACACCAAGGAATGGCGCGACGACATTTCCCTCCCTAGTGCCACCCTCTGTCCCCGACCAGAGATAAAAGAGCACAGCCAGTTACGGGCTATGCCCTGTATCCCCACGTCTGCGAGGCGGTGGTCCAGAAGATCATGATCGACCATGTCAAAGGCCGCTAACAAATCTAAAAGGATCAGCAGTCCTGACCCGCCTCGATCCAGTTGTCTACGGAGATCATCTGTTAGGGCAACCAGAGCTGTCTCGGTCCTAAAACCAGGACGGAAACCGGACTGAAATGGATCTAAAGCCGATGTTTCCTCCAGAAACCTACCAAGCTGTTCAGCAACCACTCTCTCAATTACCTTACCCAAATATGGAAGATTTGAAACTGGGTGGTAATTGGATAGGTCTAAGGGATCTAATGAAGTTTTCTTTAAGAGTGGACACACTACTGCTTCCTTCAGTTCCCCTGGGAATGTCCCCGTGTCAAGGGACAAATTGATAATTTCAACCAGGGGTGTCCGCGCAACATCTGGACACTCCCTAATCAGCCAAGATGGGCACAGATCAAGGAGGCAGGTGGTGGGCCTAACAACTTGGAGAAATCTATCCACATCAGCAGGGAGTATCCAATCAAAATGGTCCAACACTGGACCTGAAGTCAGTCGAGGGGCCTCCAGTTCAGTAACTGTATCTAAATTGGCAGGGAGGTCACGGTGGAGCAACAGGACTTTCTCCGCAAAAAAGCTCACGAATGCCTCACAGCTGTGGGTCGAATTTGTGCTTAAATTTGGTTGTCCTCCTAAGGATGTTATTGACCTAATTATTCTAAAAAGTTGTGCCAGACGAGAGCTAGCGGATGCAATGGAAGCTGCAAAGTAAGATTTCTTAGCAGCTTTCAAAGCCATCTCATAGGCTTTCATAAGCGTCCTATAAGATGTTCTTGAGGCTCCGTCACGAACTCCGTCCGTGGCCAGCATGACTAAGCCGCTTCTGGCAAACCAGAGCAGCGCACAGAAACGCCATTTACCTTCCCGCTGAAGCGGTACCTATTTATCTACTTGCACTTTGACATGCTTTCGAACTGCTAGGTTGGCAGGAGCAGGGACCGAGCAATGGGAGCTCACCCTGTTGTGGGGATTCGAACCACAGACCTTCTGATCGGCAAGGCCTAGGCTCTGTGGTTTAACCCACAGCTCCACCCGCGTCTCCTGGCTGGTACAGGTCCCCAAAGACTACTTTTCACCTCTCTGGAGTCAGACTCCAGGCCAGCTTCCCCCGGTGCAGATGAAGCTTTGATAGAGTAGGAAGAAAAACGTTGCCTTGTCCATCTGCTCCTTTCTCCAGCCCTTCCTGAATTGTGAGTCTCTAGTCTGAAAGTTGTTCTGGAAGCTGAGAATACACTGCCTGAAAGACAGGCGGTGTTGCCAATTCTGATTGCCAACAATGGTTGATTTAGAACAAGATAAATTCTTTTGTTTTCAAAATCAGTCTCCTGCTGGATTCTCTCCCACTTACGCACTTCCTCATCATTCTTGCATGTTATTTAAAGTGGTGCAGAAGAAAACAGAAAAGATGTCCTTGACTCACCTGCCTCTCCTTTGGAAAGATTTGGAAATGCCTTATTAGGCTTTAAACATCTCATGAATAAGTGAGTGGTGGTGGGGAATAAGATTTACAGACAATGAAAAAACTCAGATGTACCATAGAGATGACTATGATGCCCTTTTAGAATGGATGTGAGTTGCGGATAACAGTAGCCCTGCCTAGGAATCTTCTGACCCGGATTAATGCAAACTGAAACTCTTGCTACTTATGTGACAATGAATGCCAGATGGATAAGAATTCTGAATGTCAAAATCCACAGAAAAATCCTGTGACCAAAAGGTTTATTGGGATGTCATTGTTTGAGCAAAAAGCACTTGCCCCTTTAAACAAAATAGTGTTTGGATTTTCCATACAGTGGTGCTGTGACCATTCGCAAAACAACCAGCATCCTCCACTCATCCAAATTCATTGCATCAACTCAGCAGACTCTGATGGATGTATTTTAGGGAGAATGTCCAAAAAGTGAACTGTCCCTAATGGACCGTGAGGTTCCTGGTTTCATTTTTGCAACATCTCAGTCTTTGGTTCCTATTATATCTACAAGCTGGCTTGTGTACTGTTGAAGCCACAGATTGATTTCACCTTTTAAATTAACTTGACCTTTGCCTGTTCACAGAGGCAGAACATATGCCATCCTGTGCGATTATGAGTAATGTCCTGCAGTAGCAAATACATGTTTATAAAGTGCTGTGGTTGGCATTCTCTGATATGTATCTTCTCTTTTCGACCCTTGGGAGGCCTTTTGCAATGCACTCGCAGCAACATTTGGCTCTCTTTACCGTACAATTGCTAAGTGCCTGATGTTTCCTGGTCCCATAAGGTGGTACATATATCATGTAATCTCAGAGAGGGTATACTCAATAATATGGGGATGCTTTGACAAGTGCTTGGTCTCCCAGAAGAATTTTTGTGGTAGGGAAGGAAGGAGAAAGATGTACTTGCAGGTTACGTCAACCAACCACTTTAGTGAAAAATATTTACTGTACTTCACAAAATGAAGCTGTAAACATTTGCTATAAACGCTGAATTATGTGTATGGTGTGTGTGCCTGTACCTCTAAGAGAAATTGCTTTTTTAAAAAGGTTCACAATTTTTATTTAACTTATAAGTATCATTGGCACATCATAGTTTTATCGAAGATGATAATCAGTTGAAAATATCACAAGCTTAAACATAGCACACCAAACTGATAAATAGAAGGAAAAAGCATTGCTTTCCTAAAGGCAAATAAAAGTGCTGATTTGTAATAGAATCAGAGCTGGTTATATTGATTCATAATACTGTATAAACTGATGTTATGTTGGGCCACAACCATTATTTTGGGGGCTACTCAATAGCGCTATACCATCTTGTCATAAAGCTATCGTAACTTTGTCTTTGTTCTCTGAATCTGAGGTAATGACATGGGTGGTGCTGTGGTCTAAACCACTGAGCCTCTTGGGCTTGCTGATCAGAAGGTCAGCGGTTCGAATCCCTGCGATGGGGTGAGCTCCCATTGCTCTGTCCCAGCTTCTGCCAACCTAGCAATTCGAAAGCACTCCAGTGCAAGTAGATAAATAGATACCACTGCAGTGGGAAGGTAAACAACATTTCTGTGCACTCTGGCTTCTGTCACAGAGTCCCGTTGCGCCAGAAGCGGTTTAGTCATGCAGGCCACATGAACTGGAAAGCTGTCTGTGGACAAACGCCCCTCGGCCTGAAAGCGAGATGAGCCCCCTACCCCATAGTCATCTTTGACTGGACTTAACCGTCCAGGGGTTGTTTACCTTTACCTTTTTACCTAATGAATCAATTTAGGCATAGCATTTTCTCCAGCCATTCCTTAAAGGATGGTGTGTTTGCTGATCTCCATGTTCTGGGAAAAAGTAGTGCTCTTGCTGTAGCTAAAGCGTAGGAAGCTAATTCTTTATGTTATGACACCCTCAGAACTTAATTTAATAGGAAAACTTCCCACATAATTTAATAGGAAAAATTGGAGGGTGATTTCATACCTTAAGATCTTTTTCATTTGGTTTTTATATTTCCTTCTCCTAACTCGTTCCCACCTCATATGGGAAAAAGCCCCCCCCCTTTCTTTTTAACACTTCCAACCTGTGCTAATATATTTTTTATTGATTTCTTTTATATCTGGTCTGAGTAGATATACCATCTACTCATAGTCTTAAAAAAGCTTTCCCTTATGCCCATATTTAAGGAGAACTTATGTGACTTTCATCTCCAAGAGAAATTGAAAGTGCCCAATTGTTGCCCTCATTTAAATCTCTCCTTGCTTCCCTACTCAGTGATCTGTGTTGTAAATGCAAGCCGCCTCCAGACTCTCGGTTGTATTCATAGTAAAAAAAAGGTAAATGAAATATACTCGGAGTCCTGTAGTGATTTCATGCTCTTTATTGCAGCTTGTAAAACAGTGATTGAATTGCCCCCCAAACCTTAGGCTTTTATATACATTATTTACACAATGAGTCCTGTCTGATTGGCTGAGTCTGCTTCCCTCCTGGAACCTGATTGGTATTCTCCTGCAAGCCAATCAGTTGTTGCATTCTAGGATCCTACTTGCCTATTGTTCTAGGACCCAAGCTTAGTACATAACAGTAAAGGACCCCTGACAGTTAAGTCCAGTCATGAACGACTGGGGTTGTGGCGCTCATCTCGCTTTACTGGCCGAGGGAGCCGACGTTTGTCCGAAGACAGTTTTTCCGGGTCATGTGGCCAGCATGACTAATCCGCTTCTGGCTAAACCAGAGCAGAGCATGGGAACGCTGTTTACCTTCCCGCCGGAGCGGTACCTATTTATCTACTTGCACTTTGACTGCTAGGTTGGCAGGAGCAGGAACTGAGCAACTGGAGCTCACCCCGTTGCAGGGATTCGAACTGCCGATCTTCTGATCGGCAAGCGCTAGGCTCAGTGGTTTAGACCACAATAGCTTTAAGCAAATCATTCTGCCAGTGCAACATAATGATCTCCCCCTTCTCCATGCCCCCTAAATGTATTCTGGTGTCTTCCCCAACCCTCTAGAGCAGATATGAGGATGAGCGGGGGGGGGGGAGTGAAAACCTGTGCTTTGCTAGCCCTAATCCTTGCACTAGCACAACAATTTAGTTGAATACCCCTGTCACTATTTTGCAGGGGGGATTCAGGTGCATACCAGGAAATTTAGGTTTGCACAATTAAAGTGGAATAAAATGTCACCCTAGTTCACCAACCTCCCTTTAAAAAAGAAACAGAGTCTTTGTAGTTAGAAAAGTGACAGGGAAATGCACAGAAAAATGTGGGATGAACAAATGTTTAATGGGGAGACTTATAAATATCCAGCTGGATGAATGCTCATTGTTGTGTAACATCCCTGCAAACTAATCAGAAGAAAGACCAGATAGAATTTAACCTCTGCATAAGCTTTGTGCAAATAAGAAATGATGGATGCTCAGTTGGATGTGGTCTGGAGACAGTCTTACCTAGGCTTATTCCAAACAATAAAGCTAGCTTTCTTTTAGCAGTCCTTATAAGCCTTCCTGGTACCTGGCTTTGAGAACAGCCTTCATGGATGCTAGACTGCCTCCTGAACCCACAAGCAAGTGAATAAGTATCCTACTGTAGCAAGCAGCTTGAGAAAACAGCCACAAACTGTTTTCCTTTCCTCCATTTTTACCCTAGACAAACAACATGGAAAATGATCTTTTTAAATGTACAGTACCACTCCTAACTGTGCTAATGATTAATAAGCTTTACTGTAGACTTAGGTCTGCGGGAGCAGAATTAATAGAAAATTGCAAAAGATCAATTCTGTAGTCTGTACAGCATAGCAATTCTTCTTCAGATCCCTACATGAAATCATTCAAACTCCCACGCACATTCAGGATAGGATCAGGGCCTTCCTGTCAAAGAGCAGACCTGTTTCTTTCAAGATGACCATTTGTTTTAAAAATAAAAGCAGTCATGGGTGGAAAATAGGATCTCGGCTGTGATGCAGATGGAAGGGAAGAGAATTAACCCCCTTTCCCCTTGTGTTATTTCCCCAGTCTAAAGATTTTCCCAAGCGGTTGTTTTCCCCAGGGAGGCGGGGTGGCTGCAAATGAGATAAGATTCCAAACAAGAATATCCTAGGGAATTTAGAATCAGTTATGGCTTCTTTTCTGTGGCAGCTATCAAGTGGATGGCACTTCACTCCAACAGCTGACGTCTTTCTGGATCTGGCTTTTGGCACAGATTCACTAATCCAGGCCGACTGAAAACCACGAAGGACAAGAACTGAAGCAGACATGCAAATTGGTTCTTGGCGGGAAATAAAATCACTCTTAGATTAGCGATCTGGTTGAACTTATCCTAAATGCTCCTTGGAGGGGGTTCCCAAGAATGCAATCAAAATAGGGGGGCAGAATGGAGTGCTAGATATTTGAAGGGGGAGGGGATTTCTAGCACATGCTGAAAAGGCAAACCACTTTTAAATTTATATTGCAAGTTCTGAATTGAAAAGTGGCTTGCCACTTCAGCAGCGCGACTAGTTGCTGTGGAAACATTCAAGAAGCCCTTCTGCGTGGCTAATTCTCCTCCTCCTCCATGTATGCATATAGCTTCATTGCAGCAAGGTCACAGAGGTCAAACGCAGCAGCTGAGTTTGCATTCAGAAGCTTTTGAAGATTTTTTTTTTTTTGCTGCGGTGACTGTAAAGTAAGAAAATGTGGTGCTTTGCGAAGATCAAGTGAACTGGAACAGTGGTCATCCAACAATGAAGTTGAAGGGCCACAAGACTGGCTTGTACCCAACCAAGTTCCACATGTTCATGTTGAATCAATCCTTTGAGAGATAACTGAAGATTTTATACAGCGTAAAAACTACTTTCTGCCACTGCAGATGTTTAGGCTAAAATAATCAGACGTTTGCCCCCACAAGCGAAACTGGCACACAGCCAAGCATTTGCCAGTTCTGCTTGAGCTGCAAAAATTTTCACAGTGAGCTTCAGCGAGCAATTGTCACTGTTTTGCTGAGCCAACATCCATCATGCAATGTGATTAAATCTACAATCAGACCTTATGACAGAAGCAGAGCATTTGTATTATCAGAGAATCCATGTCTTGGTTTTTGAAAATAAGTGGCTCAACATGGCTCCAGCAATTGTACAGCAGCACGAGACTGTTATCAGTGGTGGACAAGCCTCAGGAGATTTCCCAGTTTCATATAATAATCACCACCAGCAGGAAATGCAGATCTCAATCTCCTTTCAGAAAATTATCAGCTTGGGCTCTCAGGCGCACGAATGTGCTTCATGCCATTGATGTAGAACCTTTAATCTAAAGCAGGTATCTTCAACCTTTTCAGATCCAGGACCTAGTTTTAACCCATGCATGCATTTGGGGACTCATTTATTAATTTTTTACCATACATTTGCCTGGTGGTAGTGCTCCTGTTGTGACCCATCTTGGATCAGGCCACGACTGGGTCCCAAACCACCTGTTGAAGGCCAGTGATCTAAAGGACATACAAGAAAGCCTGAAAATTTTGAAAAAGTAGTATTGCCAGGAAAGTTGCTCTGTGGTCTTAAGTCTCCAGCGTTCTTTTGAGTAAGCAACAAATTACTAGGTAACTCAATGGAGCATTGGTCAGCATCCAATTTACATGTAAATAGGACGCTGGGACTGATGGATATTATAGTCAAAAATATCTGGGAGTGACCAGGTTGATGAAGGGTGCTCAAGGCAAACACACACATATACAAGGTTGGGTTCACAACTATGCCTTTTCATTAAGTAACATATATTATGTAAAAGGAGCAGGTATACTAGAACAAAAGGTCCAACATAACCTCATAGTAAGTGAAATGTAATTGCAGAATCAGTTAGACAGAATCAAATATATAACAGGTTTGGAGTTACAAGTTGTACAGACCTGTAGAAAGACCTTACTTAGTGGACAGAATCTTAAATAAATTATGGTGTAGTTCTGGAAAACACAGACCTTTTCCATTTATCAACCCCAATTGTCCACATTGTTGTTCTATTTTATTCAAATAGGTAGCAACCCTGCGCTGAATTATCCACCCTACATAAGTCAATGGGCCTGACATACATTGTAAATGATGGTGGTTTAGACTGCACACTTGTCCTTGAAATTAAGCAGCAGATTCCATCAAAATAAAATGCCATCTTTGGGTGCAATTTCCATGGGTCTCTCTCGCTCTTTCCTTTTCGAATACCTTGCACGTTGGTAGAAAACAATGATAATGATAGCTGCAGCATTTGAAAGGACTATAAGGAGCACGATCCAGTATGAATATCCATAAGTGTTAGAGAGTGTGGCTTCTTTTGAAGGACCGCAAGGTGCAGCCAGCTCAACGGACAGTTCGTTCACTTCCACATTTGCAGGAAACAGAAACAAGCCCAGGAGGGAGCAGATGCCTTAAAAATAAAAAGGAAAGCAAATATTTCTGATATTAGTTTGAGAAAGTGATAGTAGGCAGATGAATATTTTTTTCAAAGTTTTTTTCTGTTGTCAACAAAATTTGCAGAATAAGGCTGTCAGAGGCTTAGGTGGGGTTGGAAGAAAGGGCAAGGCTGGTGGAGCAGTGCTTAAATTATCGGGAAATTCTCTTTTTGCAATTCACAAGTCTTGACCTCTCCCCCCACCCCATTTTATCTAAATCAGTGGTAGGGAATGCAATCTAGCCTAGCTCACTGTCATTTTTTTTTAATCACTGGACATCAGATTATCACAATTCAAAGGAAAAACATGTCCTTTCCAGTCTGCGCTCCAATGCCTGACCCTTAACTTTAGTTTTGGAAAGCAGCAGAAAAGTGTGCTCCCACTGAAGCCTGGCATTTGCAGGCTTACCTGTGTAAAAGCCCCACTGAATGCAGTGGGACTTGATACCAAGTAAATACTCTCAGAATCAGACTGTAATTGGGACTATCCTGAAATACAAGTGATGAATAAACCCTGTTTAGGTGTTATACAGATCTGGAAATACCACCATTTCCAAGGCTCCAAGTCTGGAAAAAGCCTAAAATGGCATAAACTCAGCACAGGGGTGCTAAATTTAGGACCAACTATCCTGATTTTCATCTGCTGACACTGGAACCTGACATTTTTACAGTGCTTCAGAAATCTTCCTCTACTGGTACCAAATCACTTCCAAAAGGAACTATTAAGCTGGAAAGCAGAAAAGTAAAGTACTCTGGTAGTAAGAACCATCTTTCAACAAAAAAAGATATTATATGGGAACGATCTAATGCTGGTATATTTTGTAACAGGCTCCCCCATTCCCTGTGAATAAATTCTTTTAGTCCAAAGCTTGCCGTTAGAAAAAGCAGGAGCCTCTTGAGACATATTTAGTGTAAGAACTGGAGTTATTTCAGTAGCGAGATCACAAGGATAGCAAAGCACATCAAAAGAAACCAGATGTAAGCCAAATAGGGGAATGAAGGGTTATACCCCCAGGGAAATATTTGATGGAGTTCATCTTACATTCTAACAAATCTCAACTTTCTGAAACGTCTAGAAATCTGCTCTCTCTGTCTCTCCCCTCCTCTACAGAACCTGATGTATTGCTGATTTTTCTCTTAGCAAAGTTTTGCCCTATTTTTGCAACTTCAGTTCTGATGCTGCCCTCTTCAAGGCTTTACTAACCTCACAACTTTTATTAAAATTCAAAATGTAGCAACGGTCTTGTGGTGATATTTCTTTAACAGGTTTGTTATGTTTGGGGTGGAAGATGTCTGGGAGGTTTTATGTAGGAGAGTGGAAACTCAGCCTGAGGCAAAGTGCAGATGGGATTTGTGTGGGAGACAGCTAGTACAGAATAGGACCATCGTAAAGTAAATGCTAAAACTACCCTCTGATTGTAAAATAAATGACACAACGTTATCTTGGAGAAATCTGATATCTGTATTTACTAGAGCAGTGTGACCCATCAAGTGACAGTTGCGTGTATCATAACTGCCACAGATCAGACATCATAGGTACCTTTGTTGGTCAATTAGGAAAAAGACATGCAGAAGTTATAGCAGCATAACACCTTTATTAGGACCACTATCACAAAGTAGCAATGACAAATCAGCCATCACAGCAGCGTTGGGCAAGCAATTAAGCTTCTCTGTGCCATTTCCATGCTCTAGATTGCCTCCTGGCGGGACACCTGCTTCATGCCTGCATCTTTCTCAGGGGGCTAATAGCTTTGGGATGTGTGGATGATTTAGATTGGGGGAAATGGTGCAGGGAGAAATGACTAATCCCTACTTTTTCTCTGCTCTGATCAAAATCAGAGTTTCCAGCTGCTGCTTCAAAGTCTGAAAACAACGTCAAGAGAGCCACTCACAGATCTTGTGCAGCACTTCAGTTTGGGCCCTTAGATTACTAGATGAGAGCTGCATGAATCATTCACCAGTGCCAGGGCATCATGTTAGTTACAGTTCCCATACACTTGTTTGAGGGACTAACACACACTGCATCTAGGCAGGATAAATGCCTTTCCTCCAGAGGGCATCCTGGGATGTCACATTCTCCCAGAGCTATTTTGGACATTGCTATGTCATCATCGCGGCTGGCCCAATACATTTTGCTGCCTGAGGCAATGGATAAGATGGTACCATCCCATTTCATCCAGGCTTGTATCCAACAGTGTATGTGGAGAGTTCCACTCATGCAACAAGCCTTCCACTTCCCTCCCCAAATGCCCTCAAAATATGCTCCAGAAAGTTCTCCAACCCTCTGAACCAGATTTTTGGAGTACACATGAGGCTACCAGGGTAGAGGAGAAGAAAGCTCCATTGCACAACTATAAATCTGTTACTCTAATGGAACAGCAGCTTCCATAGAATCCAGCTGAACTTGTAGTTGTATCTTATTTAACACTGTTCAAATGACAGCTTTCCTTTCTCCATCAAACCTGGAAACAACAGGCTATCTTTGGGGGTGCAGAGCAAGCTGGCTTACAAGACTCTGGATAATGGTGGGGAGATACTGCACTGCCATTGAACATCTGCCATGTGAGGCAGCTGCCTCACTCTGCCCAATGGTAGAGCTGGCCCTGATGATCATTTTCTTGTTATGTGTTTATGTGAATAATACCTGCTGACTACTATTATCATATGGTTAGTTAATTTATATGGCATATTCCAATTTTGCTGTCATGTAGTGAAAGCAAATGCTCATGATTAATAGTTTTGTTCCAGAAGCCTAATCAAAGAGACTTCTCATTCAAGTGTTGCTAGTTCATATGCAACCTCCACCGTTCATTAAACCCACAAATAAAATGTATAATATTTAAATGTAAGTAGGGAGATGATAAAGCTGATGTATCTTTGTACAAATGGATTCTGCTTATACTTGTATTATGAGTGGAATACTGAGTTTATTTAAGAAATATTGGCTGCAATCCAAAGGAGCTGTTGAGATTTAAGCACTTCTTGCTTCTGCAGCTGTTGGAGCTGCTATTGTAATTTAAAAACTAAAACAAAAGGAAAAAAACCTGACTGCATTCAGTTTCCATGTGCCTAGCCATACACAGCTCATTGAGATTGCAGCTATTGACCGCATTACTCCAACTATTAGTCTTTCTCTGCAGTAGTCTTACATTTCAAGGAGATCAAGTACAGATCAGATAATTAGAAGACAGCAATCTACAGTCACAATTCTATTCAATTCTGTTCTGTTTCGAATATGAACTCGGGGGCATCTGAAGAAGCTCATTTGAACAACCTTCCTTGAAAGATGGCTTGTCTACTATTACTCAGCTTGTGCACAGCTACAGAAGAAATAGGTGTTATAGATGAATTTTGGAGGCACTCTCAGTTTGCAGATATTGGTATACTCTGCGGTGCACACACAAAAATGGTCTGCTGTTATAAGCCACCAATTTCTATAGTTTATGAGAATGGTCTGCTGTTATAAGCCACCAATTTCTATAGTTTATGAGAATGGTCCCTGTTGATCTGATAACTGGAAATTTTATATACATTATCTACCTGATGCGGTTAGTGCTGTGTCAAAATTTTCTCCCAGTTTTTAAAGCATTGTGCAATCCCTGGTCCTGTATTTCTGCAGGAAGCATCTGAACCTCACTGTATTGCTAGAATAATCTTACTACGACTTAATCCATACCTGTTTTTGTTTCTTGCAAAAGGGGCCTTCTTATGCTGTCTTTCCATGGAGGGTTGTGGTTTTTTTTTAGTGTGTGACGCTACCATAAGACTAAGTGACAAGAGGGTTCAGGTGTCTTAGTCTGGATTTGGAACTCCTTTTTCTGTGATGGCTGCCAACTTGTGGACAGGAGGCTCATTTGGTGCCATTATTACATATCTTTAGGCACCAGGCAAAAACTTTATAACCAAGCCTTTGACCTTTAATTATCAGTGGGCTTTTACTATCTGTGCCTTTTAAAAGAGAGTAGGATGTTACTCATGGGTAGGCAATCGCTCTCTAAATCCGGCTCGCGGATGGTGCGGGAATCAGCATGTTTTTACATGAGTAGAATGTGTCCTTTTATTTAAAATGCATCTCCGGGTTATTTGTGGGGTATAGGAATTCATTCCCCCCAAAAAAATATACCCTGCCCCCCCACAAGATCTGAGGGACAGTGGACCAGCCCCCTGCTGAAAAAGTTTGTTGACCCCTGATGTTACTTATGTACAGTGGTACCTCGGGTTAAGTACTTAATTCGTTCCGGAGGTCTGTTCTTAACCTGAAACTGTTCTTAACCTGAAGCACCACTTTAGCTAATGGGGCCTCCCGCTGCTGCTGCGCCGCCGGAGCACGATCTCTGTTCTCATCCTGAAGCAAAGTTCTTAATCTGAGGCACTATTTCTGGGTTAGGGGAGTCTGTAACCTGAAGCGTATGTAATCCGAGGTACCACTGTAGTTATTTCCCTCCTTTGCTTTTAATGCATCTATGGAAGTGTTTGTTTGTTTAGTTAGTTAGTTAGTTACTTAGTTAGTTGGTTGGTTGGTTGGTTGGTTGGTTGGTTGGTTGGTTGTAAGCCTCTTTGGGTTGCCCTGGACAAGATAAAGCAACTAACAAATTTAGTAAATAATAAAAATAACATGATAAAGAAGAGAGAGAAAATATTCATCCACTGTTATGTTGAGATTTTGCACCACTGCACCACTTTTTTTTGCTTCAAACTACACTCTCAAAACAGCACTACACAACAGAAAAGATATGTGGGCTAAAGTTTGTGAGCTAACATGATATTATACGTAAGTCTCTTTGAGTGCCTTTTAGAAAGAAAGAAGCATTGGCCCAGAAATATGCTGATATATAAATAATTAAGCAAGCAGTTTCTTCTCAAAATCAGTTCATTCACTACAGGCATACAGCCAAGGCAAAACACTTCTTCTTACCCTTTAAACATCTACAAAATAGGTGAATTGTTTCCTAAACTTGTGTTGGATATTTTTTTCATTAATGGCATCATCATCAATCACAGGGATGCTAGGAAAAACTGCAAGTCATTAGCAGGAGTACCATTCTGACCCCTACTGCATCAGAGGAAGCCCTCATCTCCCACTGTGTAACTCTTCCTGCCAGCTACGGATGTAAGCAACAAATAAGTATGACCATCTCAGAGGAGGGTTTCTCAGGCCGTAGCAGCAAAATTGACCAGGACAATGTAAGTCATCTTTCCTGGTCCCAGGTATTTCATTCTCCCTATCTGGATTTTGAACTTGAGAGACCAAGGGAAAGTGGGTGCATGGTCTCACTGGCCTTAAACTGGCAATATCATATTTTTAAAACCATATGTCTACACTGGCTTGGTCATGTCCACAGAATGGAAGATGGCAAGATCCCCAGGGACATACTCCGTGGGAAGCTGGTTTAAGGCATCAGGCCCATTGGCAGACCAAATGTTACAAAGATATCTGCAAATGTAACGTGAAGGTTGGCAACATTGACCCCACCGTGTGGGAATCCATTGCAGGTGACCGCAGTGCCTGGAGACAGTCAGGTCACGTATCCACAAGCAGTGACCAGAGGATAAATGACAGCTGGGAGGAACACAGAGAGAAGAAAAACCCATAGTGTACCCATAGTAGCAAAACCAGACGCCTTCACCTGCCCCACCTACAATAGAACATGTCTCTCCCATATTGGTCTCTACAGCCACAGCAGGTGATGTAACTCTCCAACGGTTTGACTTCACCCCAAAGGTGACCCCTTCATTGTCTCCTGAGACAGAAGGATGCCAACAACAACAACAACAACAACAACAACAACAACAATGTATATTACTTACCAGATATAGAATTCCAGGTATAGACCCCAATAGGGCCCAAAAAGGTTTGGTAGGGGTTGCTAACGGCATTGTAGCATGTAAATCCAGAACTGAGGAAGGAGCTGATCAAACTAAGAACTAGCAGAATGATAATCACAGTGTTGAAACCCTTCGTTTTAGTATTTTCCAGCAAATCTACAACTGAAAAATAATACATCATAGTTAATATCAGTAGATACAGTGATTAATACTTCAGATGAAAATCACCTTGTGTCAGCTGATTTCTATGGATGGAATTTTTTTAAAGCTAACTATATAGTATTGCTAAGAAACAGGGGGGCTATCAAATATGATCAGACATGTCTGATTCTAGAGAAATTGCCCTTCTACATTGGGATTCGGGCAAGTTGACTTATACATATTCTTGGATGTTTAGCTCTTTCAGTTTCTCCTCAGTCTTTCAGTATTTTTTTAAATTACTGTTTTTGTAATTTATCCCTGAAGTTCAAACATTTAGACATGAAGGAATACCCGTTTGAAAAACAGCCTAACTGAGCATGTACCTTTGTACCTAGTAGAGTATGACAAGCTTCTAAGTAGATGGGCAGCTGCAAGTTTATAACTCTTGATGTTGCATAGAAAAAGATTATGGTCATCACAAAACTGTCTAGGAACTAAATTTCATAGTTACCTATATAGAGGATATCAGAAGCAGTGATTCAGTTGATAAATGAGCCTTCCACACACCCCTCTCTCTCTCGTGTATGAGTATGTGGGAGAGGAGCTGTGATCATGCTTGCTGTCCCCTTCATGGCATTCATATAATTTTATCTGAAACCATGCACCTATGCACATAGAACTGTGCACATTTCCCTGTTCATGGAAGGATTATGTGCATATACTCCAGGTGGCCTAGTGAATGTGCATAATGACCGGTTATTGCAGATATTAACCACTCAATTTATATTCCCCTTAAGATAAAATATCTCATTTGATAATTCCTTGCCCATCCATTTCCCACATTGTAGGAAGCACTTATTGAGAACTAAGATACATGTGTATGTGTGTCAAAGAGAGATTATAATTTCCTCACAAAAAAAACTTATTCACAAGTATTTATGCAAAAGTAGAATTGTCCATGTTTCAACAAGATATTTCAAATTAAATCTAATCAAGATTGTCTGTGCTGCCTTTTCTGTACCGGCAGAATGAAAACTCAATTCAAAGTATGTCAGATAAATATTTCAGAATAAAACCAGTTCATTCTGCCTATATTTGGAAGAGTCCAAGAAGCCACGTTTGTTTATTGCATCATACAAATCATTAATGGCAGGCCATTAAGAGCCCAGTACTTTGATAGAGCTTTGTATGCCTTGCACTGTTAACTTCCAAGACATAAAAGAGAAGATCAAGTTTACTGTTCAGTGGAGTAGCAGTCACAATAAATTTAGGGGATAATATCAGAGGTCTTTGTTAGTTTGCAGTGAGGCTACTAATTAACTGACCTTATAATATACAAGCAAATTGCTCTTGCCAGCAAATTCCTTGCAGCCCAAGAACTGTGGTATAAAGGCATCGATCTAATTCACGCTACAGAATTTTACAGCGTGTCTTACATTCTGCTCTCAAGCACAACCTCCACCATTATCAGCACTGTGCTCTGTATCAACAGAAGTTCTATACAAGAGATCAGTGCCCAAAGCAATAGAGAAGTATGTGGCATCAGGGGATGTGGTTTTGCAACTTCCATAGTATGTAAACAAATATATAAATACATGGGATGTAAGAACTGCCATAGTGGATCAGAACAAGCTCTATCTAGTTTGGTGTATTGTTTCCAACAGTGCCAACCAGATGCTTCTGCACATTCACAAGCAGGAAACAAATAAAAAAAAATTCTCCCTGTTGCTTGTATTTAATATCATATAATTAAACGTATACTCTTGAGAGTCCCATGGACTGCAAGAAGATCAAACCTATCCATTCTTAAGGAAATCAGCCCTGAGTTTTCACTGGAAGGACAGATCCTGAAGCTGAGGCTACAATACTTTGGCCACCTCATGAGAAGAGAAGACTCCCTGGGAAAGACCCTGATGTTGGGAAAGATGGAGGGCACAAGGAGAAGGGGATGACAGAGGACGAGATGGTTGGACAGTGTTCTCGAAGCTACCAGCATGAGCATGACCAAACTGCGGGAGGCAATGGAAGACAGAAGTGCCTGGCATGCTCTGGTCCATGGGGTCACGAAGAGTCTGACACAACTAAATGACTAAACAACAACAATTAAAGGTATAGTGCCATTGAACTTGGAGGCTTTATTTAGACACCCATTGACAGACCTATGCTATTTTGGCACAGGATTTCTACAATTTCTTAAAGCTTACTAGTTTATGGCATTATTACAGAACAACTATGTTGTTCTAGTCTAACTGACACTATAGTTTCACTTACAAACTCTAAAAGACTTGGTACTTAGAAAATAAATCCTTGAATGAAGGAACTCAAAGTTTAGTAAACCAAATTTCTGTGAAAAGCAAACATTTGTGCTTTAAAATGGACTTTCATGGGAAACTGAAACCTACTGAGTGATTTCAAAGGAAAATAGCAGATCTCCAAAATGTTGTGGTCTTCATTTATACAATGTTCAGTAATTTGATGAAACTCTAGATCAGGGGTCAGCAAACTTTTTCAGCAGGGAGCCAGTCCGCTGTCCCTCAGACCTTGTGGGGGGCCAGACTATATTTTGAAAAAAAATATGAACGAATTCCTATCCCCCACAAATAACCCAGAGATGCATTTTAAATAAAAGCACACATTCTACTCATGTAAAAACACCAGGCAGGCCCCACAAATAACCCAGAGATGTATTTTAAATAAAAGGAAACATTCTAGTCATGTAAAAACACACTGATTCCCAGACTGTCCACAGGCTGGATTCAGAAGGCGATTGGGCCGGATCCGGGCCCCAGGCCTTAGTTTGCCTACCCATGCTCTACATGATATAAAAGGGTGCTCACTGAGAGGTACCCATTAAGATCAAGACACCTGTGGAATATATGCTGCAGTGGGTCTTGTCCTCTCATCCACAGGGCTCCATGATGAAGAAAGTGGATAAGGCAATTTTTGCCAATCTCTCCTCTCCCCATTGCATTCCCTAGCCCACCTGCCATGCTTTCCTGGAGGGTCCGCTAACTCTCTCTTGAGCAGCATTTCTTGGGGCACAGAGGAAATTGGCCAAAATCCTCTCTTCCCCCTTTTCAAGTGGGAGTATCCCTTTAGCAGAATTCCGCTCATAGCAGGTCTGGATTCATCCCATTATAAATCGTGGCACTACTTGGTGAAAAGCCTAGTGACAAGAGGATGTGAATGGTGGTTTCTCCCAGCCATTTCAGCCTTTGCTTTTCCTTTCTCTCTTTTTATCAATTATTCACTCGGATGCATTTGGTATGCATCCATCTAGCATTTTAGAAACTTTGCCCTTCAGAACTATGAACAATAACTAAATGAACAATTCATAGAATACCAAGGGCACTAGCTAGCATTCAGGAAACAAAGGAGAAACCTTGCTTGGACTTTGCTATGGTGTATGAAGTCTAAATATGTAAGGAAGAAGATACAACATTGTTATCAAATGATAACCATGAACCAGATCTAATTGTATTCCAGTTGGCTCACTTGCACTTATTACTGATCACACAGGGAAAGAGTAGACATGAAACTTTCTTTCTGTGAACTTCCTTAAATTAAATTAAATTAACTTAGGACCCAAGCCAGTGCATATGAGATGTTTGGCCTATTAAAAAAAAGTCATACTAATATTATGTTTCGTAATTGTCAGTGAATTATATTTAGCCAATGCTTTATTTTATATACAAACTTCTTTTATATAGTTCTGCTTCTGTGAGCAAGGTTTACAGTGAAAACTGGCATACAAATAAATTGAAGATGAAAACATGTATTCCAGCAAGACCACTATAGGACCTAATAAAGTTGGCTGACATCAAGCATTTGTTCACCTGCTAATTTTCTAATGTAATAATTCTATGATATGCTAGCAATGGCCTTCCACATTCTACACAAGACAAAATGGCCAGTCCCTGTGCAACAGAATAAATGGGCACAAAATTTAACATCCAAAATGGTAATATCTAGTAATCACTAGGACATTTCAGCCTCCCAGGACACCCTACTGCTGGTGTGAAAGTGGCCATTATTAGGAAGGAAAATTGGTGACTTAACACAAGACATGAAATTCTATCACCTATAGCTTGAATTAAGATAATACAAATACAAACAGAGCTATCTTTCTGGAAACACTCTCTCTGTAACTATCTTTCAGCTTCAGCTAATTCTTATCATTTTCATGCCGTAAGTCATGGACTATTTTGTCAATTTTCTTTTAGAGAGTTTGCTTGTAACGATGTTTGCCATTCTTATTTTACAGCTCTTTGCTTCCTGGTGTTACTCTTCTCTTCCATAAAAGTATCCACATAAAGAAATTAAAGCCATGGTTCACAATACCCAAGTAAACAGACAGCATTAAACCAAACAGCTCCCAACAATAACTCTTTATATTTACTTCAGCAGATAGTTACCTTGGAAAGGGGTATCCTCAACACTAAGTCCATTTTGCACGTTCTTTGAACAAGATCCTTCAAAGAGTCCATATGTAATGAATATTGTCTCAGTGGAATTTACATCACCGAATTTAATCTCACTTGAAACCCAATTTTTGGTTGCAAGAACAAGGCAAACTATCACCAAGGAGATAACACTGGTGAAAAAAGCTGAAGCAAACATCAGGGATTTTCTCTTGGATGGCATTTTATCAGAAAAGTGTTTTTCTGAGGTGCAGTAAGATTTCCCTCCTCGATTCTTAGTTCCCTAAATAAGAAATCCAGTGAAGAGAAGTTTCACTTCTGCTGCTGAATAATGGGGACCCTGTTACTGGTATCTGTGTTGGCAGAAAGTCATGCCCATAAACTTTGAACTAACAGCAGTGGTAATAAAGTTGTAAAATCATTGAACTTTGGTCTGCAGTAAAGTGTTGCCATAGTGACAGGAAAGTCACTCCAACCATGAACAGTAAAGATCTGAAAGGGCTGTGGCTCAGGGCAAGAGCACTTGCTTTGCATGCCGAAGATCTCAGGTTAAATCACTGGTGTCTCCATGTAGGTAGACAACACTGAGCTAAATGGACCAATGGTCTGACTCAATATAAAGCAGCTTCCTGTGTTCCTTTGAAGCTTTGCATAATCAAATAATTCATTAGAAAGCTCAAATTTTGTAGACTGAGTGTTGTTGGTTTTATCATTTTGCCCATATAGAATTTTTTGGCAATGTACATTTGGGGGGTGAAACTCAGCTTCTTGTTTGTGTTTGCTTTCTGAAAACATGAAGAAGGAATAGCACAGGGTTAGTATATACACACATAGGGCCAATTCATTCTGTTGTTATAAATGTGTAAAAGACCCAATGGTGACTTGCCTTTGGTCAGAGCTTTCTTCATTTGCTTCCCAAACGGTGGGGGAGATACCTGGTTTGCTCAGCATGGTAAACTATGGCTTAGCCAGATCATGCTGATATGTGGGCTTCCGGAGAAGACCGTGTAGCTGCTTTGCTCCTTCCTGGTCCTTTTCACTGTCATACGTTACTGAGCTAAGCCAAAGTTTGGCTTACTAGTGGGGTAGGACAGCTGAAAATAATGCCAATATGTTTCACATCTGGCAACCAACGCACTCCTCTGGTTTCAGATAGTACATGGGTAGACGAGCCTAAAAAGCCCAGGACACAACTTTCCATGGCTCTCTAGCGACTATGGTGGCTCATTTATCAGAAGTAATGTATTTAGAATTAACTTTGGAAGTGTATACTCGATTCTGACCAAACTAAGCCTTCTTTTGCTCTAGGACAGTGATGGCCAAACTCTGCCTTCCAGCTGTTTTGTGTTTTGGGACATCCCTGACCACTGGCCTGTTAGCGAGGGATGATGGGAGTTGTAGTCCAAAAAACAGCTGGAGGGCCAAGTTTGGCCAACACTGCTCTAGGAGGCTTAGTTTGGTTATGGCCCCAGTAAGTCATTCCCATATTCTGAAAGATACAAATACAGTGGTACCTTGGCTTATATAAGCTTCAGGTTACATACGCTTCAGGTTACAGACTCCGCTAACCCAGAAATATTACCTCGGGTTAAGAACTTTGCTTCAGGATGAGAACAGAAATTGTGCAGCGGTGGCGCAGCAGCAGCAGGAGGCCCCATTAGCTAAAGTGGTGCTTCAGGTTAAGAACAGTTTCAGGTTAAGAACGGACCTCCGGAACGAATTAAGTACTTAACCCAAGGTACCACTGTAGTATAACACAGCGGCTAAAGGGTGATTGAGATCAATCTCTTCACTTGGCTGCTGTCCATTACGACTTGTAAGGTGACTAACAGGAGGTGGAGCCAATGACAGATGGAGCCACTTTGACTAAAGAAGAGGAAGTCATCAGGCAGCAACACCCCATGGACTGGCTCTAAGTTAGAAAGCAGGCAGGCAGGTGGAGCTCTACTTATGTCCATTGCTATGTCCATTGGGCATTCTCTAGTGGTTACTTGAATGTGGGGCTGAAAGGGTGGAGCATTAAGAAGGAGTGCTTTCATATTGCAAGGAATTGTGGGAGCTATGGGGCGCATGAGTTAATGAGAAAATTAATTTTAAAATAAATGTATTTCTTAGCATATAATAAAATTGTAAGGACATCATCATGCTGCAGTTCACATAATCATGGGTTGGTGTTTGGAGAGGTGTCAAGGGAGAAGATTTGGCAGAGGAGTAGGGAGTTTGGCAGGGGGCGGCTAGGTGGAGGTGGCAAGCAATGTGAGCAGCAGTACAACCCCTAGTCTACACATCATGTCAGATAACCTCATGTAGAGCTCTGCATGCATTTTCACACTCACTTCTTTGTCTAAAGGCTATTTTTCACATTATGTGAAAATGCCAAAGAGAGTTATTTTTCACTCTCTTTTCACCTTACACTTTTCATAAAATTTAACACTTGGAATTATTATGCATGTTTTGAGCCATGCACCTTTCTCTTGTCTGTTCCATTTGCTTCAGGAACTACTCAGAATTAAGCTTTTCTGTGCTTTGTCTTTCCACACTCATCTAAGTTTGCATCCTAGGGCTTGTGCAAACTGCCAGTTTACGTCAAGTCAATATTGACCTGGAGTTGATTTAGTGTATCGTTTACCTGCTGTCGCTACTCTGAAAGCATCTCAGTGCTGGTGGCTGTGAGGTAGGTTGCATCTCTTGGAAAAGTGAGCCCCCTCAGTGCAAGTATCTGGGTGTACAACTTGGGCTGCAATCCTATACAGAGTTTCCTGGAGGCTAACCCCATTGAACTCAATGGGGCTTACATTTTTTATTAGACATTAATAAGACTGTGCTATCAGTATTCAGAGAGATTCTCTTTTACTTTTTTAAAAATCTAGCTTTTATACCTTTTTTTTTAAAGCTAAGCACGGTTCCCAGTGGTAAGAGGATGGTATCATAGCCTATCTCCCTTGAAACCCATTCTGTGTTTCAATATACTTGTCCATCTATTGTGTCCCTCCTAATTTTGGAAATCCAACAAATATTAAAAATAGGGGTACATGAATATTTGTATAACTCCAATTACAAAAAAGAGAAGGTGTTTTAATGGAAAATTTGGATTATATTGATGCAGGTTTTGATGTGTTTGTGTCCAATATTCACATCTGGATCAAGAAATGAAATCTGGTAGATCATAGCATCAAACTATTTCCTTTATACTGTAGCTGTTGTTGTTTTTTGATCTGCTTTTCATGAAGAACAAAATACATGCTTCTTGGAGCAATAGTATTTCATATAGGCTTTGAAAAGTACAGTTGAGTCTCTTTGTTTCATTATTACTTTAGTGGATTTATCCTATTGCCATCCACTATAATTACTGCAAATAACTACTTACAGGTGAAAAGCAGAATAAAGCTGTTGGCATGCCTGCTTTTCTGTTCTGAATTCATTCACAATGTAAGTCAGCTGCAAGTTAGAAATTTTCACACATGGGGGTGGAATTGACCTATCATTTTAATGTCTTGGTTATTCAAAGGAATAAAAGCGAACCGCTATGCTAAATGAGAAAACTGATATATGTTTAGCCCGACCATCAG